CTGCCACAAACATTAGTAGCATGTTATGCATTCCTCTAGAGCAAAACACATGGATAAAGCTTCTTTGTACATTTCTTTGTACATTTACACAGAAACAGGAGTAGGAGTAGACTGTACAACCCATTAATCCTGTTCCATCATTCAGTATCATTATGAATGATCTTCGGTTTCAACTCGTCTTTTCTGCCCACTCGCCAAATCTCTTGATTCCGAGAGACAAAATCTATCCCAGCCTTAAAACTATGCAATTATAAAGTATTAACAGCACTCTCGGTTGAGAATTCCAAACAATCTCAAATATTCGAGTGAAATATTTTCTCCTCATTTCAGTCCTAAATCATTAGCCCCTTATCTCAAGGCCATGCGCCCCTGAATGTGTTTCAGATTCCATGATCAGCAGAAACAATCTCTCAGCGTCTACCTATCAAACCCCTTTCATACCTTGTATGTCTCAATGATATCACCTCTCATTCTTCTAGACATCAGAGAATTAAGGCCCAATTCAGTCACACACCTAGGAACTGTCCATATAAAAGTATGCTTTGGTTCGTAGAAAATGTGAGGTTAGTTTACAGGAGTGTGCTGTGACCTTGGACTCAAGAAAACGTGGAACAGCCCGAAAAGTATAACCAATGAAACATGTGTTTCCTCAGTCAGAAAAGAGTGAAGCAATGGAAAGAGAGTTTGTGTGTGTGAGCACATGCATGTCCGTGCGTGTATGCCTGCTAAATAGTGTGTATAGGTCATTCAGATGCTGCTGAAGACTTCTTTCTGTTTCATTCCTCTACAGGAGTAGGATAACGCAGCCAATTATTTTCTGTGATTCTGAGAAAGAATGCAGTTAATGCTGCATGTTTAGTGCAGGTGGCGGCCATTTGGCCTGATGGCCCAGTGCTAGCTCTCTGAAAGAGCTAATTAACCAGCCCCACTCAAATCCCCTTTCCCCACGGTCCTGAAAATTTTTGGCCCCTCAGGTTCTTATCCAAATCTCTTTTGAAAGCCACAAATGAATAAACTTCTACCACTCTTTCAATCAGTGCACTACAACTTGTAACCATTCACTGAGTAAAAGATAATTCCTCATGTCAATATATTAGCAGAAAATGGTGCCAAAAAATTCTTGGCAAGGACAGCCTTCATTTTATGCCTGATTTTCACAGCCAAGAAGACTGCCATCAGGCAGCTGCTCCACTGATAACTCTCGCGTCAGCCACATCACGAAGCTGCTTCACTGGAAATTTCCCGGAATCAGCTTCTAGGAGAGTTCTAGATAATGATTAGGAGTTATCCCAAGCTGAGAAAATTCACTACTCATTTGGTAGTTAGCTTTCCTGAAACAGATATGTTTTGAATCAGCAATCAGATAACTCCTGATCTCTGCCATTTCTCTGAGGACTTGTGTGTGCTGGACCCATATATACCTAAATACTGCCTCAAGTTTTTTACTCTTTCACAGGATGTGGGTGTTTCTAGCATTTGTTGCTCATCTCCTAGGTGCCCTTGAACTGAGTAGTTTGCTTGGGCCATTTCAGAAGGCAGTTAAGAGTCAATCATATTGCTGGGAATCAGGAGTGAAATGCAGGCCAGACCAGTACAAGGACAGTAAATATCCTTTGCAAAGGACATTGGTGAACCAGATGGATTTTTAACAACAACCAATAATAATTTCATGGTCACCGAAACTAGCTTTCAGTCCAGTTTTTTATGAATTCAACTTTAATTCCATTAGGTACCCATGGTTAGATTTGAACCCTTTCTTTCGATCATTGCCTGAGACTCTGCATTAATAGTCCAGTGCCATTACCACAATACCAAAATCTCCCCCAAGTGCACTGCAAAGTAGTAGATATCAATAGGTCTGAAATTAGCCAAAGGGTCCTTTTTTTTAAAAAAAAGGAGACAAGACTTATTTAGGGAGCAGGATGAACTATATCCCATGCAACTAACGCAATGATTTACCTTATAATCAGCACAATTTATATCACTGCATTATCAAATGTCATGGCATTTGGCTTAACTGGTGTTCACTATGTTAATGCTACTGATGAACCACTTCCCAGGCTAATCCTAAAAGCATATTCTTATATTCCTTTCTCCATATTCTATCGAGCTTCCCCTTAAACGAATGTATGCTGCCCTCCTCAGCGACTGAAAGCAGTAGCAAGTTCCACATTGTAAGCACTCCCTGAGTGAAGACATTTTTCTTGAACTCCTTACTAAATATGAGTGACAATCCTATATTTATGCTTCAATGAACAAATGAGAAAAAATCTCAAGTTTGGTTTTCCCCAAGACAGCTTGACTGCTCCCTGGCGTGCGATCAGAGCAAATAACTGCTACCCCATGCTAAACTACAGCCATCTGAGGCATCTCATATCTGACAGAATGTCACACTGCCTCCAGGGACCAGCAGTGTAAACAAACCCTTGGCCAAATTTCTACCCATGTCTCTAAAGGGAGAGAGGTAGCAGAGGAAGTCAAAGAAAGTAATTTAATGTCAGCAGCAGTAATACAACAGAATCTCTTCTCCTTGTCGTCTTTAAGCCTTCCCAAAATAAAATTAGCCTTATCCAGGACGCACAAAGATCGGGTGGCGTCCCTAAATCAAAATTACCGCTAACAGCAGGAATCAAATGAAAATCTGCCTTGACGTATGTACAGAGCCTCTCAAAATTTGACTCTTTTCACTGTAAATATTGAGCAAAAAATTCAACTTCAGCTGTTTTTGTTCGCAATCACATCAGACTGACATTGATATTTTATACAGTAACAATGACGCCTAGGGACACACCAGCAATTGGAGGAGCATTCCTGTTAGTAGGGCACTAGATGACAAACTTTACTGGATATTAACCAATCCCAGAAAGGCAAGATTCATTTTATATTTTTTGCAGTTTTACAAGTCCAGCACTTACTTTAAGTCTTAATTTTAAAATTCTTCTCCTTGTTTTCAAATCCCTCCATGGCCTCACCCTTTCCCCATCCCTATGAAACCCTCTGGCCAACCAACCTTCAAGAAATTTGCACTCCTTCAATTTTAGCCTCAAGCATCCACAATTTTAGTTGCTCCAATCCTGGCACATGCCTTCATTTGCTGGCCTCCAAGTTCTGAAATTCCCTCCCTAAACCTCTCTGATTCTCCATCTTTTTTTCTTTCCCCTTCTTCTAGACGCTCCTTGAAAATAACCTCGTTCCAATGAGTCGGCCATCTGCTCCAATATTGCCATGGTGACTCGGTGTCTAACTTTGCTTCATAGCCAGCAGAGTGCTTTGAAGCATTTTAAAGATGTTATATAAATGTAGATTTGGTGGTGCATTTGCTTCTTCCGAACAACCAGCAGCAAACATGACAAATTATAGATTACAGCAGTCATTGATCATGAGATGATGGACTGCATTCCAGTGGATAAGTTATTTTAAGAAGTATTCTCTCTTAAGATGTGGGCATTAGTACTGACTGTCCAATCCCTTCTTGATCCGAAAGGTGTGAGACACCTCCTTGTATCGCTATCATGCATAGTCAGTGGTTGACCAATTGAAAGCAACGTCATATCTAAACACATTGCTGTAGGTTTGAAGTCACACACAGGAGCAGAAAGAATAGAGACAGCAGATTTCCCTCCATTAAGGACAATAGTCAACCATTTGAGATCTTATGACCATCTGATGGCTTTGTTAGAAAGAATTTATTCACAACCGAAACAGTGCAGAGATGGTTCATTGGTTGATTCCGGGGAATGAATGTGTTGTCTTACAAGGAAATGTTGAGCAGGTTGGACCTGTTTGCACTGGTGTTTAGAAGAATCAAAGGTTAATTATTGGAACTTGCAAGATCCAGTGGTGGATGTTAAGGTGGATGCTGAGAAAATGTGGGAGAGTCTGGAATGAGGGGACCTAGTTTAAAAACTAGGGGAAATCCTATTTAAAATGGTTTAATACTATATCATTTAACTGTGCAACCACACCTGGAAAAACCAGTCTAGCTATGTTTAGACTATCTTACCAACACAGCAAACCCAAACTGGGCTGCAGTACTCAAGGGGACACATTATGCAAACAGACACTCTCTTCAGAGAGAGCAAAGCTGCATCCATCCTCCCTGACCATACATAGAAAAGCCTCCGAATCTCCAGTCTCCTGCCAACAGTGTGAATTATGAGACATTCACATACACACACAAACTGGAGATTTGTCTCATCTGGCACTCGATAAGTGTGGACTGACTCCCTATGCATCTACTCCCACTTCCTTTGCGAAAAATTCCAAGTAGTATATGAAAGGTGCATGTTTTGTTACTGCAGTAAATATACCACCTCAACCAACAATTCAGACCTTCATTCTCAGGACTTTTTCTCCCCAGACATAATTACTGAATAACACACAAGGCCTGGACGTAAGCAAATGCAGTCTTGCAGAAACACTTGCCTTCTTGAATGAGAAACCCAAGTGCAGGGTCAACAAGATAAGCTTGCTGATGATGAGCTAAAGCTTGGGTTTTAAATGCCTGTGGATTGACAGGCAGGGGAAGCTGGAGGGAGGTACATACAATCTTGAAGTCATGGACGAAGTGAGCTAGAATTGCCAACAGAGTCACAAGGCTTGACGCATCGAATCAGAATGGTGTCAGCACAGGAGGAGTCCATTCAGCCTGTTGTAGCCCTGCTTGCTGTCTGCAAAGGTACAATTTAAGCATAGCGAAGACAAAATGGAATGGGGAAAAGTACACAGAATAGTGCATTTGTAGTAAAACAGGCAACAATGAATTCAGGTTTCAAATTGAGTGGAACTAGAAGAGAAAGAAAAACATATGCTATTGACTTTGGCTTGTCATAAAGACCCTTATTTTCTGCAGGGCATGCAAACCAGGCCTTTTAAAATGAGAAAATAAATCCTCAGACAAGACAGAAATGAACTCTGAACATCAGGATACTTGGCAACAGGCATACAGGATGACAATACAGTTTCACACAGCAACATACAGTACTCACTGTGTAACTCACCCTTGTTTCTCAGTGGCGGTGAACTGTTATTTGCAGAGGTGAACGGTCGCACAAGTGGACGGGGGTTTGACCCGTCTGATGTCGTCACTCCGGACCTGTAGCTGGTGGGTTTCCAGGGGCCGCTGTCCAGCCTGGGTTGGCTGTCGGCCAGGCTGGATGGGGCCAGATCCTGAAGGAGCTCATTGAGCAGGTCGATGGGGGAGCTAGTGGCGCTCCAGGACATCACGCCAAGCTCTCGCAGGTGGGCACGGGCATGGCTCGACATCCCCGCCCGCGAGTCGAAGTTGGCGCTGCACAGGTTGCACCTTTCCACCGCGCTGCCGCGGATCTTCAGGGCTGAGGAAGGAAGCAAGGCTGGCAATAATCCCCAGAGGGGTCAATGTACTGTCTCCTGATAAAACTCTCCTTTCCCCAATAGATACAGCAGCAATTTGGCCACATGCCTACATTGAACACGCACAGAAATATCTATGTCACCCACCAAATCTCTCACCCATATCACAACTCTTCAATTTCTAACTCACTAGTACATTGCATCCTCAACTTGTGTTCACTGCCCACTGGGAATTCCAACCCACAGCACCATGACCTCCAACATGGGTGGGACAAAGGAGATAGGTCCCAAATGCACACCAGCCATAATGGGAATTGATCCCCACCCTGCTGGTGCCATTCCGTTCTACACCAGCCATTCAACCAACTGAGCTGACTGCATCCTCCCGCTACCCTAGGAGCCCGAGTTGCTGTGACAACATGCACTTTTGTATGCATGTAGCAGCCTGGAGCTATGCATAGTGATGGTAGAAGCTAGAAGAAAGTCTTTCACAATCTTTCCTGCTCTTTTTACCAGCCATTGGCACGTGTTGGATGGAATTACAAGTATCATGAATGCACGTTCCTTGGCCTTCAAATCCTAAAGTGGGACTTGAAACTGGAGCTTCGAGCTTAAGAGCAGGGGCATTGCCCACTACACCAGACAACATCAGTAATCTGTACAAAGAGTTAGAAAAAGCATTTTTCCTCAGCCAATTTGTCCCCCTTCTTTAGTATAGGTAACGTGGGTACAACTCCAGTGGGCAGAAGTCTCCAGGGTTACCCTGCCCAAATGGATATGATGTGCACCTGGGCAGTGTACATCAGCAGACTGCTTGACCAACAAAAGAATTGCAGTCATGTTGGAACCTGTTCACATACTATATGGCATTATTTACCAATGAGGCAGCCCACATTTTAGTATCTAAGTCAATGTTTGTACATTAATATGTTACATATTCTGTACACAACATGACACAGACTTACCTTTCCTCTTCAGCCTCTGCAATGAGAATTCCTTTTCAATTGCTGTAACTTCTTCTGCGCTAATAAAATGCCGGGTGTTGTAACTGATGCCAACTCGTTTAAGATGCCCTCGTACATGATTGGCCAAACCTATCCCAGTGTGGAATTTATCTGGACAGTAGGGACACTCTCTTTCTTCCAGTGGAAACATGCGTAATAAATTCTTGCCCAAGAGGTCTTTTGACTTTTTCATCAGATCTAGTGGTAAATCTTCACTGGGCACTTCCCAAAGGATGCCTTTGTCTAACCCCACTTCCACAGAAGAAGCTAATTCCCTTTCATCACAGTTGGGCTCACGCTGAGATGGGCTCTCCCCGGGCTCATATTGGGAACGTCTTCCCAAGTGTTGGGACTGGCTTGCCCCGGGTTCATGTTGCAAATGACTCACTCCAGGTTCACGTTGCAGCTGGCTCGCCCCGGGTTCACGTTGCAGCTGACCCTCCTTGGGTTCCATGGAAGAACCCAACACCTTTTCTTCCAAGGCAGAGTCACATGCTGACTGACTTTCTGTTTTATCAAGTAATATTATAGAAGTCATTCTCACTAATTGCTGACGTTGGTCAACTGACAGATCTTGTGGAATATTGATAGTCTTAAGCAGCTCTTTTGTGCACTTTCTTACTGCTCTAGGTCGGCAAGAGGTGGCACTTGGATTTGTAGACATCCTTCCTTTCTTAGTAGGAAGAGCTGTAGTGTCACAGATTTGAATTCGGTGACCTGGCAAGCCTGAGGTCTTCTGCTTGAGACTGTCTCGCGGACCAAATGAAACAGAGCAAGTTTTATTTCCCACAGTGTCCTCCAAATCGGACTTTAACCTCACGATATCTTTGTGGACTGAAGGTCCACCAGTGCCCATTCTGGATGCAAAGTGATCTATTACAATTTTCCTGTAAGTCAGGGCAGTTCTTTGACTGGCATGATATTCTCCACCTACCTCTATTTTGTTCTTTAGCTGGTCACGAGAGGAACAAACAGCCCCTTGTTGTGGAGCAAAGCTTCCTCTGGGCAAGGGAGGGATGTTTGTTCCTGTACTTTCACACAAACCCGTGTAATTGGGCACGCCCACTGGTGACTTGAACTGCGTATTCTGCAGCACAGCCCGCTTCGTCATGTCCAGTGCCGAGTGAGTTTTCAACTTGGCAATCTCCACTTCTGGGACATCGAGGATGGTTTTGCCCTTTTGCTCCCCCTCAAAGATCAGAGGGCGGTTGTCTTCATAGCTACATGGTCCTCTTGCAGTTGAAGGCAATGACTCTATCTCCAGCTTGCCATCACCCAGATTATTCAATGGCAGGAATCGTGGAGAGCTCTCACAGTTGCTGGATTGGTTGTACGAATCCTCAGCTCCTTGGCCAGCAGAAGGCCATAGTGGCCTTGTCGGAGGGCAGCCTGACTTTTGCTGATGGACGTGTTGCTGGCTGAGTTTCATCTGTTCTTTATACAGACTCTCAACTCTCTTAGAGGAAGGACACTCCTGGTTCAGCCGCAGATCTGAGTTGGCGGTCTGAGTTGGCAACCCGAGACTGGGTGTGCGCAGAGTCTTGCTCTTCTCCATCCCGCCTGGATGGTTGCGCCACTGGTGCTCCTGAAATCCTTCAGCCGTGGCTGCCTGGAAATGGCAGAGATGGCACTGGCGAGGCACTTTGAGGGCATGCACCTCAGCCCGCTCCCCTGGTAGCTTCGCCGGGTTGGTCCCAAAGGTGGCCTGCTGCCTGGCCCCATGCCCTTCGCCCCGTGGGTCAGCCAGTTCCTGGAAGGCCTCCATGAAGCTCGCCCTGCGCTCTTGATGGAGACTCAGGTGTGTCTGAAGAGAGGCCAGGTCGCAGAAAGCATGGCCACACTCATGGCAGGTGAACGGGCGAGGACCCCCTGCAAATCCTTCCTCGGCATGTCCGTCAAAGTGGTCCAGCATGTGCCTGTGTAGGTACTCCCTGTCCTGGAAATAGACGCTACACTTTGTGCAAGTGTAAAGAGATGGTTCACCCAAAGGCACAGGATTCCTTGTTGCTACCACAGCAGGTGCCGCCCCAGGGTCTTTCTCCCCGACGCTGGCACTGGGCAGCATTAGCCCCATCACAGGTGTCAGTAATGGTTTTACACAATCCACTCGGTAATCCCTACTGACGTTCAGGTATTTACTGACTTTACTGTGCTCACTTGAAAGGTCCAGACTTTGCTTGAAGGTTTCTTCTGATTCCAAAGCAGTCAAAGCTGCCGAGGTCTCTCTGGAGATTACTTTGCATTCTATTGGCAACTCTTTGCTATTAGACTCTTCTACCCCTTTGGCAAATTGCTCCTCCTTTTCACTTCTCTTCCCTGAAACCAAATATGTTTTTTTGCTGTCTTTTTTTGACAGTCCTAAGCAATCATCTACTTGTTCCAACTCCTGTTTTCGGTCTAAGCTTGTGACTGTGGCCAGTGGCTTTGGAGAACAGACTGGCTCACTCAATGCTGCTGACTCTTCAAAGGCAGCTTGCTCCTCATTCACAGCTGGAAAGAGTACCTTGGATGTTCCTTCTGAGTCAGAGCTATTGCTCACTCCCATTCGTCCTTCTGCTATGTTCAGATTTCCTGCTTGAAAGGTCTCTGGTTCTGGTCTACCTATGGTTTCCATTGAGATTGAGGTTAGATTGGAGAGTTCCCCTGAGTTTGAAGGATGTGCCGACACCAGGCTCGAGGCATCAGCCGAAGACAACATATCAGCGGCACCAGCAACCTCCTCCCTTCTTGCAGGGCTAACATTCGGCCCTGTCTGGACCAGCACAGATGCATTCAAGGCTTTCCTGTTTGCGCTGGCAGTGCTTCCCTGAGGCATCTCTTTATCATCAGGCAATTGTGCATTGGCAGCAAACAAAGGGGCTGCTGACTGAATTGCCTCTGTCTCCCTTTCAGTAGCCAGGACCACCTGGCTAGCAACGCAGGGCCTCTCTGCACTGTGCATGCCTGGAACGTCAAGCTTGTCACAGCCCTCGAGGCTTGACGACCTTTGGCTCGACTGAACTGAGGTAGCCCGTGAAGATTCCATGCCATGCTCTACAGAGGATTTAGCAGAGAACTGGGAAAGCTCCTCTACGCAGTCTGTACCGATTGCACTCGAGCAGTCCCACGATGCAGCTTGACAAAGGCTGAGAGTGTAATTGGTCACTGAGGTATTGGTTGGTTCTACACTGCCACCATCACGCTGCTTACTGAAGCGCTCATCCATCGCCGACCTGCAGACACAGATTGAGACAGCATTATTGAGAGAAGCAGCAAATCTCATTTATTTTGTGCATGTGTCTTCATCAAGGTGATTGATGACTGTGACCTTTTCTCTACCCCTTACTTTACATCAGGCAACAGCATCAGGCATGCAATGCCATTGTTGTCGGCAGAAGGGCTCCACCCCTACTCCACCAATTGTGCATTGCAACCCGAACCACTAATTTAAAAAGAAAACACCCCTCCTCCAACAACAGCATGCATTCTGAGACATGAAGAAGTTATCCGACAACAAAACCAAGCTTCAGGCCTTGGGCAACTGACGGTGAAGCAGGAAGAAATTACAAAGACCTCTATCAAAATGACCTTTTTAATCAGCATTCTGCTACACATTTTGCACGAGCCATCAATCTGAGAGTTTTCTTCACTTGGAATATTCAATAGTGAAGTCTGGCCGCCTGTCTTTACATCATCCTCTGACCACCATTCACAATCCGCAAGACGAAAAGGCCCCGAGTGAATTTTTGTGGCCCTCCAAGGTTGGGAGCTAAAACAGACGTGGGCTGAAAATACCAAAAGCAGCTGAACTGCCAGATTCTCCTACCCAGCCGTTTTGGCAGAGGTGAGTTTTAGAGCAGGACTGCCTGCCTCCCCTTTGCTAAAGGTAAGTTAGGGAGATTGACTGGATTTTTTTTTTGTAGCCCTGCTGGGATGGGGCGGTTTGGTTTGCAGTTCAAGGGCTGGCAAGCTAGTAGTGGAAAGTGACCCAGGAAGGCTACAGGCTCTCTGTCTGCCTGAGTGTGGGTTCAGTCATAAATCACCCCCATCCTCTTTCATGGGTGTCACTTGAAGGCCAGCATTTGTTGCTCAATCCAAATTGCCCTCACACCGAGAGGCTCGCTGGAGCCTTTCTGACAGCAGTTATGACTCAACCACATTGCTTTGGGTCACACATAGGCCAGATGGGGCAAGGACAGCATACCTCCTTCCCTAAAGCCCACTGTGAACCAGATGTGTTTCTTTCAGTGACAATTGTCGATAGCTTTCAATTCTAGATGTACTCAATTGAAAATAAATTCCACCAACTGCCGTGGTGGGATTTGAACCAGTGACACCAGACCATTAGCCTGGGCCTCTGGATTACAAATTCATTCAAAGTCACATAACCATTGCTTCCAATGTCTTTGCCTATAGAATCTTGAATTCTCCAAGAGACGCAATAACACTAGAGCTGATTAGGGGCCAAAAGAATGCACGAGAGGAATCCTATTCCAACCCGGCAAGCAGCTGGAACCAGCTAAGGAAATTGGTCAATCTAAATATCACCATCAAGAAATGACAGCACAATGCAGTACTTTCCAACCTTTATGACACAGTAATGCAGGACAACCGTGTTTACTAAGACCGAATATGAATAAAGATGCAAGCCAAGGAAGCTCTGTGCTGGATTAGCACTTACTGACTGGGTTCTCTGTCCTGCAAGGTACTGAGATGCTCATGGTAACGTACAGGTCCTGGTTCACAGTAGGCAGGATATTCCTTCATTTCTGCTAAAAGAAAGTCAGCGAGGTTCATTTCAATGTTTATGCAAAAGCACAATACTGGAGATACAGAAAGTCTGAAACAAAAACAAAACTTGCTATATATACTGAGCAGGTCAGGCAGCATAAGATCATGAGACTCAGATCTGTAGACTGTCTTTTGTCCACAACTGAACTAAGGCTGTAATGAGGTCAGGAGCTGAGTGAGCCTGGTGAAACCCAAACTGAACATCAGTGCACAGGTTATTGCTAAACAAGTGCTGCTTCTTGATAAACCTTCAATCGGCTTACTGATGATTGAGTGTAGATTAACGTAGCAGGTTTGGATTTGTTCTGCTTTTCATGTATAGACATACCTAGGTAATTTTCCACATTGTTGGGTAGATGCTAGTATTGTAGCTGCATTGGAACAACTTGATTAGGGGCACAGGCAAGTCTGTCCACTTTAGCACAGTGATGGTGCCACACAACATGTGTTCTTAATGCGGAGACAAGACTTCATCTCCACAAGGGCTGTGCATTGGTCACTCTTATTGATATTGTCATGGACAGATGATCTATGGCAGGCTGGTTAGTGAGGATGGGGTCAATCATGTTTTACCCCATTGTTTGCTCTTTTCACCACCAGTGGGGTAGGGAGGACAGTTTGCAGAGTCACTGTTACAATGTGGGAAACACGTCAGCCAATTTGCACACAGCAAGCCTCTACAATGCAAAGATGACCAGCTCATTTGCTTTAATAGTGACAATTTAGGGATAATTATTATGCTACCAATTTTTGGCAGCTTGTTCTATGCTGAAGTTTATAGTGCTAAGAGTCCGAATAGCAATTCTTTCTCCCTCTCACCTCTGCTCCACTGTTAGGTCCAGTCACATGTTAACTGGTGTCCAAGGGAGAAATGTCATGCTTTTCTTCAAAATCATGCCATAGGATCTTTCACATTGTCGAAAAGCGCAATCAGGGCATCTGTGTAATGACTCATTCAAGGTGTCATCCCTAACAATGTTGCAGTCCTTTAATATGACACTGAAATGTCAGCCTTTGGTTCACTCATGTCCTTTGGGGAGGGAAATCTGCCATCCTTACCTGGTCTAGTCTACATGTGATTCCAGACCCACAGCAATGTAGTTGACACTTAACTGCCTCTGGGCAATTAGAGAAGAGCAATGAATGCTGTTCCAGCCAGCCCAAGATCCACCCACGCCTGACTATGTTTTACTACTTATGTGTTGAACTCCACCCCTGCCTCAATTCACCTGCTGCTGAAACCCTCACCCAATCTGTGACTTTTAGACTTGACTATTCCAATGCTCTTCTGGATGGCTTCCCAAGTTTAATGTTCCATAAACTTAAGGCCATCCAAAATCACGCAGAGTCCGTACTCGGGCAGCACGGTGGCTCAGTGGTTAGCACTGCTGCCTCACAGCGCCAGGGACCCAGGTTCAATTCCACCCTTGGGTGACTGTCTGTGTGGAGTTTGCACGTTCTCCCCGTGTCTGCGTGGGTTTCCTCTGGGTGCTCCGGTTTCCTCCCACATGCTAAATTGCCCGTAGTGTTCAGGGATGTGTAGCTTAGGTGGATTATAAGGGGATGGGTCTGGGTGGGATGCTCCAAGTGTCGGTGTGGACTTGTTGGGCTGAAGGGCCTGTTTCCACACTGTAGGTATTCTAATTCTAATTCTTGGTTAAGTCTAGTTCCCGCATTCCCCGTAAGACCATCAGAAATAGTTGCAGGAGTTGGCCATTCAGCCCCTTGAGCCTACTCTGCCACACAATAGGATCATAGCTCATCCCAGATTCCTCACGTTCACTTTCCTGTCCTTTCCCCATATCCCTGATTCCCTTACTGATCAAAAATCTATCTCAGCCTTAAATATACACAAGGCCTCTGCCCCTATAGAATCATAGAATCCCTGTAGTGCGGAAGCCGGCCATTCAGCCTATCAAGTCCACACCAACCCTCCAAAGTGCATCCCACCCAGACCCAACCCTTCCCCCCCACCCTATCCCTGTAACCCTGCATTTCCCATGGCTAATCCACCTAGCCTGCATATCCCTGCACACTATGGACAATTTAGCATGGCCAATCCACCACACCTGCACATCTTTGGACTGTGGGAGGAAACCAGAGCACTGGAGGAAACCCATGCAGACGCAGGGCCAACGTGCAAACTCCATACAGATGGTCACCCAGCTCCCTGATGCTGTGAGGCAGCAGTGCTAACCAATGAGTCACAATGCCACCCCAATTCTCTGTGGCAAGGCATTCCAAAGACAACCATCTGAGAGAACAAATTCCTCCTCATTTCAGTCTTAAATTGGCACCCCTTAATTCTGAGAATATGTCCTCTGACTCTGGACTCTCCCATGTGGGTAAACATCCTCTCAGCATTTCCCTGTCAAGCCCCTTAAGAATCCTACATATCTCAATGAGATCGCCGCTCATACTTCTAAATTTCAATGAGTCCCAACCGGTTTAACCTTTACTCAGAGAACAAACCCTCCATAGCAGGGATCATCCGAGTGAACCTTCTCTGAACTGCCTCCTAATGAAATAATATCTTTTCTTAAATAAGGGGACCAAAACTGTTGACAATACCCCAGTACTTGTGAACCAATGCTCAAAATACACATGGGGCAGCAGGCAAATTCTCAACCAAAAGTCTCCAAAATGCCCAGGGAAATTCATTCAGGTACTAACCTTAAAACATAGTTGCCCCTGTAAGTAGAATGGACTGAGTCTGTGAAGGACTGCTCCTATCTGACCTCTATTGCATTTACTGCTGATAGCAGTATGAGCCTAACTGCTTCTCCAATATCAGGCTGTTTCTCTCCCATGTTTATAGCTCACTGAGCCTATCAGCTATAAACATGGGAGAGAAACAGCCTGATGTTGGAGAAGCAGTTAGCAGTGTATGTAGGAAGAAAAATAAATAGGTGAACCACTGAAAAATCCTTTGGCTGGAAGATATTGAGGTCTGGGTTTGGGTCAGAATGGTGCCTTTTAACAAATAAAAAAATCAGGATCAGGATCCTGGTCAGGATCCAATAAACTTCAATCAAATCACTTCTTATTGAAAACAAGTCCAGCCTGTCCAATTTTTCTTCATAACAAAACTCCTCATAATCAAACTAATTAACCTTCTCTGAACCACTTTCAACACACTTAACTCCTTCCTTAAATAAGAAGACCAAAAATGCATACAGTATTCGAGATGATGCCTCAGCAATGTCCCGTATAACTGAATTATAAAATCTTTACTTTTATATTCAAATCATCTTGTAATAAAGGATAACATTCCATGAGCTTTTTCAGTTATTTGCTGTAACTGTATGCTAACATTTTGTGGCTCAAACTAGAACAACTGTTGAACCTTGGAATTCTGCAGTCATTCTCCACTAAAGTAATAGACACTTTTTTCATTCTTCCTGCTAAAGTAAAACACTTTATATTTTCCTACATGACATGACATCTGTTAAATCCTCTGACCTTGCCATTCCATGAACAGTGTGTTTAGGGTGATGGCTTTTTGTGTGTCAGTGATTTTGGAAAAAGCCCTTTGTGAAACTCTGCTGGTCGTCTTATACCAAATTAAATACTTCGGAGTCCAAGAAATTGATGTCATCCTTGTGTGATGTGGCTTTTAAGTTGAGAAGTAAATTTGAGGATGTTCATCATAGATCATAGAATCATATAATCCCTACAATGTGGAAACAGGTCATTCGGTCTAACAAGTCCACACTGCCCCTCCGAAGAGCATCTCACCCAGACCCATTTCCCTACCACTGATTTCCCACGTCTAACCCACCTAACCTAAAGATCCCTGGGCACTATGGCCAATTTAGCATGGCCAATCCACCTACCCTGCACATTTTTGGACTGTGGGAGAAAACCAGAGCACCCAGAGGAAACCCACGCAGACACGAGGAGGATGTGCAAACTCCACACAGTCACCCGATATGAATGAAGTCTTCTAATTCTGCTTCTGTGACAATTCAAAAAACTAATTTGTTAACACAAATAGAGAAGGTATTGTTACCATGTGTTTAAATCACTGAGGTTGTGAAAATAGAAAAGGAGCCCCTGAAAAATCAAAAGAAGTTGCCTTCAGGAAAATTTCAGGCACAGCTCTGAGAAAAATTATATTTGTGCCCTGTTGGTCCACATTGGCTCCCAATTAAATAATATCTTAATTTTAAAACTTTTATTATATCCCTTCAAAGTCTTGTCCCCTTCTATCTCCTCTGTAATGTCCTCCAGCCCCACAAACATCTAAGAAATTTACACTCCTCCCATTCTGGCCCCTTCAGCATTCAATTTTAAATGCTCCACCATCACCAGCAGCTAAAGTTCTCAGTCTCTACCTTGTTTTCTTGCTTTAAGAAGGTCCTTAAAAGGCTATCTCTTGACCAATCATTGCCTTATCTGCTGTAACATCAATCTACTTTTAAATTATTTTAAAAAGCTCCTTGGATGTTCTACAACTTTAAAAGGTGCTACACAAATACAGTGTGAGATACTTGGGCTTTTACTTTCAGAGCTGCCTCAGAAAAGTGTTACGTTTTGCACTTTGCCAGTTTAAATTACTTTTCCACTAGTTTCAGCGTTTTGCTAAGGAGGGATTTTCTTAAATTTGAGAGGCAGGGATTACAAATAGCAAGTCTCAGCATGCACTATGAATACTGCTCTAGTTATCTGTCAAGAACTTGGAGGCACTGATGCATGCTGGGAATTGTAGCCTATTGTCCATTTGGGCTTCTCAAACATGTAAAGGCCCCAACAGAAATCTCATTATTGACACACCAAACAATGAACTTTTCCGTACTGATCTTGTAAGTTTTGTACTTATTACAGTGAGGTGTTATTTCTCTGGGGTTTGAGATTTCTGCTTTTCATTATCCATTCTGTCATGCATACAGTAGGGCAATTAACACTGCTGCACTATTAACCAGGATTTCTCAAAGTTGGGTGGGAGAGGGTGGGTTCAGGACCCCAAGTGGGCTCACGA